TTGGTGATTATATGAATATTTCTAATTTCTTATGCACTAATCTTTTATCCCCATGATTAGTGCACTGTGATATATGATAATAATTATTACTTATTTTTTGATCTAGAATGTTCATTTTTACTGACACCCTTGTGATTTTTGCATGATTATATCTCTTGATTCTTTAAGTATCTTTGCCCAGAAGACAAACACTTTAAATTTTCTAAAGACAAATAAAAATTAAATTCTTCAGTAAAAAAGTATTTACTTTTCTAGGCAATCCCTTAAGGATCGCTTTAATCTATGGAAGCCAATAATTTGATCAAAAAGTTCTTTTTCCCATTCCACGCAAATAATGTTGTACTCCAGCAGCAGTACATAATCAGGAATTGCACTTAGCATTCTGAATTGATATCTACATTAGTAGTCGCAGAGAAGCACAACAAATTGATGATTAGAAATTACAATATCAGACTAGTTAGCTTACGAGTTGTGTTTGTATCACATGCTACAATTCAGAAAATTACTTATACGCGTGGACAAGGGGGAGGCTATGAACATAGTAGGAGATCTTATCCTATAGCCATTTTTGGATTTTAAACCCTTGACTGAATACAATTCAACAAGTAACCTTGTACTCTTACAATAGTACAACTAAAAGCATTATGAACTAATCCTTGTATTAGTAGTTGTTAAAAACACAACCAGCTGTTGTGAGAAATCATAATGCAAGTTTAATTGGTTCAGTCATAGTGCCTGAAGCACATGTCATAATTCAAATTCATAAGCTCGGACGAGGGGGAGGTAGTAGATCTTATTGAGGTGGTCAAGGAAAACTATTTGGTTTTTCTATATTTGGATTATATGCATTTGTCAGACAATTTTAATTTATCTTGATTTTGCTTTAAATTCTTGTGAACCTATGTGGTTTTTATTCATATGTGTATATTTTAGAATTTGTCTGACCTAAAATACACCATGTTGCGATAAGTTTGAGATTTAGGGACCCAAATTCTTTTAAACTCTGGCATGAGCGATTGGGTCATCTTGGGCAAAATATGATTCGTCGAATTTTCTTAAATTAAATGGGGCATTCAAACCAAATCCGACCAACTGCATATCACAATTTTTCCCCTTTATCTATACGTGGTGTAGAAGCAAAACATTTCCCATCTGCGTATTATTTATTTGCAGTCCATGTTTCTATATCACCACCATAGCGTACCTCTATGGGACCTCGGTGAAGGTACATACATTATTTATGAAACTCCGTCAATAATTTAGTACCTATGGCCCATGTTAGGGGATCAATTTATAATTTAGTACGCTGACTGCATTTTTATTGAAGATCAATTCTCGACATTAGGGGGAGATTAGTGCCCAAAATACAAAATAATGTCAAGAAATTCCATTGATGCTTCAATATTTATATCCACGTACTAGTCAAACTGAACCAGAAGTTCACATGATAATCTGCTAAGAAAAGAGTGACTAAGGCCCATATTCATGTTGAGTATATCATTGATGATTTGGTATGCCAGAAGCATACTGTGCTAGAAGCATATAAAAAAGATAAAAGTCCGCGGCAAACTAAATTCTATATAGAAAGACAGTCACTCCCATAACCTCTGGAAGAGGTTCATCCAGAAGATGGAATCTCCAGTAAATTGCACGTGCACTTGATAATCACAATACTGGAGATGCGGAACGGCCAAATCCAATTGTTAAGGGAAATGACGAGGATTTGGTTGATATAAAATATGAATTGAAGTGGCCACAAATTTGTGAAAAAGAAGAAATATATAATATAAATATAAAAGTTGTCGACAACATAGTTACCTCTATAGTTGCTCTTACTTTCTCCGAAAATAATCTGGATCCAGAACCTAAGTCGGTAGTAGAGTGCTTGAAGCTCTCGGACTAGGTAAGATGGAAAGTGGCAATTGAGGCTGAGCTGAACTCGCTAAAGTATTTTGAACCTGTAGTTCATATATCCCTGCAGGATATATATATATGGGTCTTCGTAAGAAAAATAAATGAGAATTGTAAGGTGGTGAGATATAAAGCGAGATTCATAGCTAAATAGGTTCACGCAGAGACCCGACATCGATTTAGATGTAAAATATTCTCCTATTAGTGATTGTATTACGTTCCGCAAGTTAATACCTATGGCAGAAACTATGAATTTATATATGCAGTATATGTACGTCATGACCACATTTTTATATGAGTCATTAGACGCTAATATTTTTATATGAAAGTCACTGATGGACTTACAATTTCTGAATTAAGAGAAAACAAGAATCGCAACATGTATAACATTAAATTATAAAGGTCGTTATACGACTATGCCTAAAGACGGAGTTTGAAATGAAAGACTTGGGAAAAACCAAGTTTTGTCTCGGCCTGCAGATCGAGCATTTTCCCAGAAGGAATTTTTCTACACCAGTCAACCTAATGTGAAAAAGGTTTTGGAAAGATTTTATATGGATAAATCTCATCCACTTAGCACACCAATGGTCGTCCGGTCCCTCGAAGTGGATAAAGACTCATTTAGACCGAAAGAAGATAATGAAGAAATGTTAGGGCCAGAAGTTCCTATCTGAGCACCATTGGAGCACTTCTTTATCTCGCAAATTGCACCAGGCCTGATATTGTATTTGCGGTGAACTTGCTAGCAAGGTATAGTGCTTATCCTATAAGGAGGCAATGAAATGACATTAAACATTTCCTTCGCTATCTTCAAGGTACAAAAGATCTTGGACTATTCTATAAAAGAAACCAAGATATGACATTGGTGGGCTATTAGGACGCTGGCTACATGTCTGACCCCCATAACGCCAGATCCCAGACTGGTTATGTTTTTCTCTGTGGTGGTACTGTCGTTTCTTAGAGGTCTGTTAAGCAGACCATGGTGACTACTTCTTCAAACCACTCAAATATTATCGCTTTATATGAGACCTCACGAGAATGTGTATGATTAAGATCGTTGATACGACATATTTGTGGCTCGTGTGGTCTAGTGAAAGATGATATTCCCCCCATTGTCCTTTATGAGGACAATGCAACTTGTGTTGCACAAATGAGCAGTGGATATGTAAAAGGAACCATGTCAAAACATATTACGCCAAAATTCTTTTATCCACATGAGCTCTAAAAGAATGGCGAAATCACCTTCGAAAAAGTTCGCTCAAGTGACAATCTTGCAGATTTGTTCACTAAATCTCTGCCTACATCAACTTATGAGAAATATGTCCACAATATGCATAGACTTGAAAGACTATCTTCTTCAGGGGGAGCAAATTCTTAAAGAACAATCCTGAAGATTGGACCCTCAAGGTCTATTATCATAATTTGCCCTTTTTCGCTAAGTTTTGCCCCACTGGGTTTTTCTTAGCATAGACTCAGAAGATTGTCATCATAAGGGGGAGCGAATTTTCAACGCAATCCCGAAGATTCATAGACTCAGAAGATTGTCATCATAAGGGGGAGCGAATTTTCAACGCAATCCCGAAGATTGTGCCTTGAAGGACTATAGTTGTACTCTTTTTTCCTTTTGCTAAGTTTTGTCCCACAGGGTTTTCTTAGCTACAGGTTTTTAATGAGGCAACTAATGCAACACAAGTTTGAATCCCGAAGATCTATAGTTGTAATCTTTTTCCCTTTGCTAAGTTTTGTCCCACAGGGTTTTCTTAGTTAAAGGTTTTTAATGAGGCAACTAATGCAACAAGAATCTACTAATGTCGTGTACTCTTTTCCTCGACTAGTTTTTATCTCACTGGGTTTTTCTAGCGAGGTTTTTAACGAGGCATTGACATTTCAAAGTAATGTCCAAGGGGGAGTGTTGAAATCTAAAAGACATTTTGTTGATATCTAAAAGACAAAATGTATGTGGACATTACTTTGTATGTGGACTATTAATTTCATGTCCTTTTGTATTCCATCATGTATCTATAAATTGTACGATGTATGGAAATGGAATTGATGAATAAAGGATTACAATTTCTCTTCTTCTCTTGTCTCTTGTCTCTTGTTTCATTTCTTTAGTATATTATAACATTTTTAAATCTAAACGGAAATTATCTACATCAAAGTTCCCTTGTATGGAAAAATTATATAGCTTTTGTACTAATTACTTTTCAACAAAACAAGTCGAATTTGCAATGAAAATACATGTCCTGGAATATAAGTGTAGATATCCAAATAATAAATTTACAATTAATTTTCCTGCAAAATTTGCTGCTAAAATATTTGCTGCAATTTATTTTTTTTTGCAGCAAACCAAGCAGCCCCTAAAACAACTTAATACATTTTGCAGTGTAAACAAAAAAGATATGAGGGTGATATTTACAACAACTTGTTGCCTTTAGTGGTTTAATTTAGAAAAAGTTTTAGATATCATGGTCCCTCAATGAAATTGATGTTATGCCCCTCAAGTCATAAGAACTTGGTCCCTCTAGTTAACTCACGTTGGACCTAAAGGGAGTTTTGCACTGAAGTTTCAGGTATAATTCTCTCATATGTTAACCATCTGTTTCTTTAATGGGCTAAAACGCAAATCCCAAAAACTAAAAACCAATACCCATATCCTTCATCTTTTTTATTGGTAAAAACTCCTCGAGCATACTCCTCTTCTCTATGATCTTCTTCTCTCAAAACAATCACAGGGCACATATTTTAGTAATTGATCGTGTTGGGTCAAGAACTAATCCGGGCATGGTTTACAAATTTAACTGAAACTAATTACATAAGGACGAAATTGCAAAAACCCTTCTGATTTGATGAACCTATAAAACACTTGCATTGATTTGAGGGACTAACACCAAATTATAGAACACTTAAAAAGGACCATATCAAGATTTGGGAGTTAATAGGACAAAAACCATTGTACTTATACTGAGGTGCAAACCTGGGTGAAAGCAAAGCAGGTGTCTTAGTATTTCTAGCTCGAAAAATATCAGCTCTCTGTGTAATTATCACGCGCACATCTCTCTCTGCTAATATTTAATTAGACCGAGTTTTTTCTTAAACCCCCAAAAATCCCGCCAGCCGCCGAAAGCCCACAAAGAACAGAAAAATAACTAATTACTCCATTATTTTTCTCCCAACTTAATAGCTTTTCTGTTACTTTTCACGAAACCCTAATTTTGAAACGTAGGGTTTGGAGCTCCTCTTCTGGCTTCTCATCAAAATCGAACTACTGGGGTAAGTTTCGAGCGTCTTTTGCCTAATTTTGCATGAGTAGATACTGAGAAATTAGGGGTTTATTTTTGGTTTCTCCATAAATTTTTCTTTCTGATCCGCAGGGTTTCGTTTGAACTCATTAGGGACCTTTAGGTTCAGAAAAGTTCGGTTTTTTAAGGATTTGGCGATGGCACTTTCCTGTGATCACATTGCGATGATTGAATTTAGAAGTTATCTCAGTAAGAATGTAGTTTCTGGTGCTAGGGGAACCAATGTGTTGTGGAAAAGTTTGATCTTTCCAGCTAATTTGAGAGTTGGGAGTGCTAATTTTCGCTTGAAAGTTAAGAAAGGGGGATTTAGAGTTAGGAATGAGGTACAACCTAGTGTTGGGTCAGAATTGAGCACTGTTGGTATTAAACAAGATGTAGAAGATGTCTCGGTGAAGGAAGAAACTAAGGTTAAGGATTTGAGTCATTCTCCAAATGTTGATAATGAAAATGGTGGTGGAGATTTCCCTCCTAGAGGAGGTGGAGGTGGCGGCAATGGAGGTAATGGTGATGGTGAAGGTGATAGTAATGAGGATGATGAGTTTGGGCCACTGTTGAAGTTTGATGATGTTATTAGAGAGACAGAGGCAAAGGGTGCTACACTTCCTGAAGACATGTTAGAAGCTGCAAAGACCATTGGAATTCGAGAACTTATTCTGTCTCGTTACTTAGACATGCAGGTATTTGTTAAGGGTTTTTTGGATAAATAGTGGAGTTTGTGTTCAAAGATGAGGGTATTAATTCAATGCTTGAACTTTGTGTTTGAAGGGATCAGCTTGGCCTCTTGGTTTTGCAGTGAGGTCATGTTCTATGTTTCGTAATCTCATGCTAGCTGATCCATCTTTCCTTTTTAAAGTGGGAACCGAGGTAGGTTGGATTTCTTTAAGTATCATGAACCAAGGGTCAGTCATGAGTTATTAAGAAATTTTCTTTTATGCAGATAATTATTGATACTTGTTGTGCGACATTTGCGGAGGTCCAAAAGAGGGGAAAGGATTTCTGGGCCGAGTTTGAGTTGTATACTGCTGATCTTTTGGTCGGAACAGTTGTTAATATCGCTTTGGTGGCTATGTTAGCACCTTATGCGCGCATTGGGAGACCATCTGCTTCCAAAGGATTTCTTGGGAGAATGGCTCGTGCTTATGGAGCTTTACCTAGCAGGTAGATTCAGTTTATGTTTCTTCTTTTTCTGCTCATTTTTGTTGACTAATTTGAATTTATCCTGTCACTTATTTCTGGAGATACAATTAGAAGACATGCTTAGTTTTTCCTTTGTTGTGTGATGCATGATACGTGGGGATTCAAAGACCAATAAGTTTATGAGATAGTTGAACTCTTTACCTATGCTTAGTGTGATCATTGAAACATAGATATAAGTCCGCTATTTTGTTATCGGAATGAAATATGTTTTCTTATTGGAATAATATG